TATATTTAAAATCTTTCCTACCTTTATTCCTTCTTCCTTAATTAATCACTGCTCGATATAAGTCTCCCCATATTAGGGAGGATTTGGCTTAATCATCACGTTTGGCAGGATTGGTGATCGCAGTACTAAACGTCTCGTACCGTTGACGCTCCTCGGTTCGTCCCCGTTGTCGGTCTACATATTTTAGGCCCAGAGTAAACATGAAGGTTTACGCTGGACGTAATATATATAAATATAATATATATAATTATATTATATATAAGTATATATATATATATATATATATATATATATATATATATATATATATGTATAAGTAATGTAATATATATATAAGTATAATAAAATATAAATATATACAATCTTTATCAAATTTGGACTCATCTGTCCATAAGATATTTCCCAGAAACGATGGGTCTGCATTTGCATTAATTTGCAGAAATCGAACCACCCCCGTTTTTAAATATTCCTCAAAGAAAAAATACTTTTTACAAATTTATTTCTTTTTTCATCTATCAATCGTCTACTACGACCCGGATAGTTTATTTACCTAAAATCTTGGCATTAAAAATAATAAAGCAACTTATCTACTACACAAAAGTTATTAAAAATAAATCAATATGCAAAACTTCCAAGAAACTTTGTAAATAGACAAAATTGGCAATTTTTATAAAAAAAAACTTAAATATCCAATATCTTGGATATATAGATATCCGTTAATTATATCCAGGATATTGGATAAAATAAACGGTTAAGTTTGGGGTATGTTGTTTCATAGTCGAAACAGTCGGTAACTGTAACCCTGTATATTGAGTACAGACTAAAGTAGGAAGTTGATCAGTAATGTGCTGATTCTGATGTGCTGAATCTGATTCACAGAAATGATCTCACCATAGCTTTATATTCAAAAGTGTGACCATTAATGTTTCGTTGTAAGTAAGTAAAGATTAATTGAATTTTTGAAATTTTTATTTCAATAAAACGAATACTAACAATCAACGTAAAACATATGAAATGTGGTATTAAGTCTAGAATTTTTAAAGTTCTTATGAATGTCTATATCTACCACATGTTCGAAAATTCATATATCAGAAGGGAAGAATCGCAAAGAAGCTCTGAGTTCATTGTTGTTTCTGTTATTTTTATCGAAATAATTTCGTTTTACATTTTAATCAATGAATGTAATTATATTATTGTGCTGCAGTTAAAATTTATTTTGTAGTGCCATCCAATCACTAAGACGGAACGAATTTTCTTTCTATGCCATTATCACTAATAATAGTAATCCCATTATTCACTCTAATTTAGCCTAATTGCTTGTAAAAGCAATGGCTTCACGGCAGTAGTCGATTGGCGGATTTGAATCTATTCTACTCAAATATGCATTTCGTACCCTTTAACTTTATTATTCAGTAGTTTCAACTGTAATTTTAAAAGTAGAAGAAGGTCGACGAAGGAAAGATAAGATTGCAATTTATGATTAGAAGGTTATTATTATCACGTATAAAAATGAATAAGTATGATCTAAAAGTATTTTCTAAAAATAAATTTAGTCTTTCTGGTTGTCCGTATGTATATCCAGAATAATTTTAGAAATGGATGAACCGAATGTGATGAAATTTTCGAACATATAGAGAGCAAAATATTTTCAAATAATATTTTATCTGATAAACTACCATAAACATCTTTAAAGAAATGAAAATTTTATAAATAAAAATGGTCTTATATTCTATTAAATATCTAATTTATTTAGATATTCTTAGTTATTAGATAGTTATTTAGATATTCTTAAATCTAAATAACGCAACATTAATAGATCTTATGCGGATGAAGCCGTAGCGGTTCGCTAGTTAACATCTAATACGGAAGTGCTAATATTTCTGATGACACAGTCTATTTCATGGGCTGAGTTGGAAACAAGTACAAACTTTTGCAGAAACCTGTTTTAAGAATGTCTCAGCTTGGTTAGAGAATAACTTACTCACACTAAATATTTCAAAGACCAAATACCTCTGCTTCTCGAGGTCTGCAACTTCAGGTCCAGCTCAAGACTTTACAATCACACTACATTCTTTACCATGTAATGGAAAGCTTACTAGCCAATGCAATTGCAGCACATTAACTAGAGCCAGATGTATTAGATACCTAGGTATTCAAGTAGATGATAATTTGAGCTGGAAAGAACAAATCATTAGCATCTGTTCTCGGATTAGAAGACTTATATATATATTTAGACAACTAAGAACAGTCGCTAGTAAAAAAATTCTTATTCAGACTTATAAAGCGCTCTGCCAAAGTATCATTAATTATTGTGTGACGACGTGGGGTAGCGCACCAAAAACTTTTTTTTTGGTGCGCAATTTTAAAAGTACTAATGCACCTACCGTACCGACATCCTACTAATAAAGTCTACAACGAGACTCAGGTACTCTCAGTTCGCAAGTTGTTTATAATTCAAGCTCTCCTGAGATACCACCGTGTAACTGCCTACTCACTACCACGAACCAGTAAAAGAAGATTTCGGTGCCCTATACCCACTACCAAAACCACCTTTATGCAACGACACTACAATTTCATAGCACCATACATATATAATAAAATTCCCACCGAGAATATTGTTAGCCTTACAACTCTAAGCACCAATAGATTTAAAAAATATGTACTGAAATGGTTGCAAAATCTTGACTACGTCCAAACTGAAAATCTTCTTACAATATCTAAATAAAATACAATCATTAAAACACACACAGATACAATCCACACACACACACACACACACACACACACACACACACACACACACACACACACACACACAAGCGCGCGCGCACGCGCGCGCCACACTTCCGCACATACGCACTACAACAATAAACAACACACTAAACAGTATGTAACAGTAACGGCTATAAATTAATATTAATTAAGAATAATAAATTGTCTTATGTACTTGCCGAATATAGACCTAGAACTAAGAATTAGGGAAGGCACTGTTTCCTGAGATACAGGTGATAACCTAGTTCAGGAGACAGAGCTCCTTTGTATTTAGACATATTTGGTTGCTAATAAACGTTATTTATTATTATTATTATTTGGGGTATCTATATAGTTTTCTCATCTGGTTGGTTTATATAAATATATAATTATAAATTAAAATGAAACGATAAATATACATAAATATCAATAAAATAAAATAAATACAAAAATACATAAATAAATAAAAGCCCAACCAGATGGAAGCCCTCGGCAGGGGAGACCAAACGGCCGAGGGTTAGGAGGAAAGGGAAAGAAACCGGCGGACGATGCGGGCGGTATCGAGAAGCACCGCCTTTTGCATTTGAGCCCGGAGCGGTCCGTCACGGAGTCCCAGTCGCCTCAGATGACCCGAGAGGCTGACTGGGATTAGCCCATTCGCAGAGACGACTACAGGAATAATTTCGGCCGGCAGACCACCCCACATATCGGTCACCTCGTGAGCCAGGTCCAGATATTTTGTTCGTTTATCCGTTTCGGCTTTCACGAGGTTCTCGTCATAAGGAATGGTAAAGTCGACCAAAAATATCCTTGACTGTGCCCGGTCCATCAGCACAATATCAGGCTTATTCGCAAGAATAGTCCTGTCTGTGATGATGGCCCGGTCCCAGTAGAGCCTAGCGCGGTCATTTTCGAGCACGGCTTCCAGTAAGTACTTGTAATACGGCAATTTCAGATCCACGATACCGTATTTCAGAGCGAGCTCCTGGTGTAGAATTCTGGCTACTAGGTTGTGCCTGTGCAAGTACTCAGAGTTAGAAAGCGCCGAACAACCGGAGATGACATGCCTAAGTGACTCACGGGGATGGCGACAAGCTCGACAGACGTCGATGGTGCCATTTTTTAGGATGTATCTCCGATAGTTGTTGGTCTTAATAACCTGATCCTGTATTGCACAGACAAAACCCTCGGTTTCCCCAAAAAGGTCACCGAAACGTAGCCAGTTGAGGGAGGCGACTGTATCTACGAAGGGATCATGTAGAACCCTGTAGTACCTCCCGTGGCGCTCCTTCTCCTTCCATACGGTCTCCCGGTCGGAAATGCTTTGTACTGCCGGGTCTTGCCATTGCTCGTTGGCTAAGGATAGAGGGGTAAGTCCTTTATCACTAGAAATGACGTCATTATAGAATGGATCATCCGATCTCACCAGGAAGTAATTACGGAGGCTGCGCACTTCGCGATTATGCATGGTGAGCGCGCTCAGGAAGCCACGCCCACCATGATTTCGCGGCAAGTACAGCCACATTACCAACGATCTCGGATGATGCATCCTATGGGACGTCATGGTAGTGCGGACTTTTCTATCCAGGGCGTTAAGTTCGGTCTGAGTCCACCTGAGTATGCCAAAGGTATACATGAGGGCAGGCATGACCCAGCCATTATATGCGTGTGCCTTATTCACACTGGACAAAAGGCTGTTAAGCATTTTGGTCAAGCGTGCATAAAACACGTCGCAAACTGACTGTTTCATACCAGCCTCATCGACACCGATGTTCTGTGACATACCCAGGTATCGGTATGTTTCAGCCTCGGAAAGGGTCCTTAAGTTGACGGGCAACGGGACTTATATAGATAAGTCTATGCCCTCAGAGTTAGCAACCCTACTCCTCTCAACATGGAGGACCGCACACTTATCCGTCCGCAGCTCCATTCTAATAGAATTGCTAAATTCACAAGTGATGTTCAGCAATTCCATAAGATGGGAGCGACTGTGGTTTATGGGCTCTGACCACAGGCCGCGCCAGAATGCTACAGTGTCAGCCTGATTCGGTGCTGGGCCCGTTCCACTTGCCATTGGTCACTCCAACGATTTATAGAGCCTCTTCTGATCACTCTGGAAGAGACGATTCTGGTTAAACCGTGTCGACCTCTCGGTATATCGCCGAATCCGCTTTCCCCAAGCAGCGATTCTCTGCTTCAGGTCGTCTATGCGCTCCGTCAGTTTTTGCATTATATCCGGCTGGGACAAACTAACATTTGTCGCCTGACCTGAAGCATATCAGTCTGCCGATGAGGGCCGTAGCCTTTGCGATACGTTCTTCAATTCTTATTCTCCAGGCTGGGATAGCGCTACTTTGTCCAGTAGCACGTCCAGCCGTGGAAAGTTTGGCGCCTATAATACGGCACACTGCCAGTGCGGCGCCAAAAAGAATTGAGTCCGTCTCGCAAAGGTCCCGGCTGGCTTCCAAATAGGTCACCAGCATTGGGTTCAGAGCCCTCACGACAGCCCGATTCCGCTTGCTTAGGGCTATGGGGGGAAGTCGCGGTCGATTTTCAAGAGGCGTACTGCGCGTTTCCACAATCGCCTCTTCCAATGTACTCCTCATATGCTCTAATTCCAGTTCCTGGGCGACTGTTCCATCATCGTTTGAATCAACCACAACTGGGGTATTCACGGCGGCATTCACGTTTGCGGGGTGCTCTGCAATTTGTGGCGCCGTATCCTCAGCCGTAGCCTTTTCATCCGCTGAGGGAACAGCCTCACGTCGTAGTCGTTCGAGTTCGGCGACATCAAATATATTTGAGCGCAAGATATACCGAACCCGGTCTGCCAGGTTTTGCTCTGAGACGGTTAAAGATGGCTCCAGCTCAGCAAAAAGACGATGCATCCTAGCCCGATACGCCAAACCTCCAACTTCTCTCCCTTTCACCCTAAAATACGCCCGCAATGCGTTAGTATTCATTTCGGTTGTCCATCGCATGCGGCGTACTCCACCAGTGGCAGGTGCCGATTGCTGGGCCCGCGAAGACCCTGCCGACACCAAGCCAGATGGTGGGGATGATGGATGCGAGAGGCTGATGGGTGGTCGTACAGCACCTCTCACTCGGCTGGTGGTTCGCATGCTGTCGCGTCCAGCGCCAGCTCCAGACGCTTTGCGCGTTTTTGCATATTCCATCATCCATAAAAGTGGGCGTCATTTAACGGGAGACGCGCAGACCCGGCGCCGTTTTATGGTGGGGCCATGTGCACAAGCGGGCCTTTGCGCCTTTAATTTTTGCCGAGGCACGGCACTAACACCTCTTGGCAAGGTGCTGACTGACTGCACTGACGTAATTGTTTTGTCACATAACCGTTACGTCAGCGGGCGATGGGGTCGTCACTTCCCTACGCCTTATTATTATTATTATTGTGGGGTATCTATATAGTTTTCTCATCTGGTTGGGTTCTATAAATATATAATTATAAATGAAAATGAAAAGATAAATATACATAAATATCAATAACATAAAATAAATATAAAAGTACATAAATAAATAAAAGCCCAACCAGATGGAGGCCCTCGGCAGGGGAGACCAAACGGCCGAGGGTTAGGGGGAAAGGGAAAGAAACCGGCGGACAATGCGGGCGGTATCGAGGAGCACCGCCTTCTGCATTTGAATTATTATTATTATTATTATTATTATTAGTTTCAAATAAATACTTGTCGAATTCCCTTGTTTATAAATGATTCATGGGACGATTAATCTTCTTTTGTCCGGTCATGATTCACTGTATACACACATAACAACACAGTACCATCCTGTTTTATAATAGCTCGCCTGCATGCCTTCAACATTCTTTGCGACCCAAATACCTGCGCGAACGCCCGATACCTCTTTCCCAATAACTATGCATTGCTGTGAGAATGCCTTTCCACAGTGCCCGATGAATTCCTAAGCACTCCGTCTTTTTGTGCATTTATTTTTTTTAAATAAGTAATAAATAAGACGTTTTTTATGAATGAAAATATCGAAATATGCACAAGTAATAAAAATTATTCGTTAAATAAAACTATTACATATATTAAACTGATTTAAAAATTTCAGGATAAGATATAAATCAAAACAATTCATCCGATTACAATGAATCTGTGACGTGTAGACTTAGAGTGCACTCGCAAAGAGGTCTCACAAAAAGTATAAATATATTTGTTTGTTTAGTCTATGCTTTCCTATACAAATCATCATTACAGTACTGGGCACAGCTAGTATAAATTATAATAGGAGCGGTTGTAGCTCGCGCTAGCCTCATAGTTCCCTATTATACGAATAGCCGAGTTTTATCCCAGCCGACTACAATGGAAAGTTCCATTGTAATCCCTTCTGAGTAGATGATCTTGGTTACAGCATCCGACCAGGATGGCTACGTTTTTCTATCCAATCTTAACGCTCAACCAAATTTCAATAATATAAAGAAGAGCCGATCTTGGCTACCGCACAATTGTCACCTACTCTATAAACACTTCCTCACACAAAGTCAAATGTATATATCCATAATTTCAAGTTTTTACGTAATGGAGCTTGTCTGTAGTTATATCATGGTAGTGGCGCAAATGGGCCGACCGAGGAAGGACCTAGATCTCACGGAATATCAGCATAATGTAGCAGTTTAATGTTTCAAATGGTGAGTTTAAAGAACCGGAGGCCCTTTTACTGAAAACGAGACATTTCATCTCAGCCGACGGGGATGGCAACGACATTTTGATTCCTAATTGGGGATAGATGTGGATATTATATCTCTATAGGCCACATTATCTAAAATAATAAATAATTATGTTATAATAAAGTTAAGTCATATATTTATGTAATATAGTATAAGTAACATATTTTACCATATAAAAATATATTATATATAATGAACCCATCATTTACTTCCTTTGCCAAATGTATATATTGAACTGGCCACTTGGTGATTTTGAAATAAAGCATCAAATACCTATGTTGTTACAATTAAAGCGAAAGAAAACGTTTTATCTGTCAGTACAAACTTAATTTCCATCGTATAACTGCACCATATATCAAAATTTCAAAGAAAAGGACATTCAAATACCTGACCCCTACAACAAGAAGTGTTTTTACAAAAAGACACTATAATTACAATGCCCCGCATTTATACAATAGACAATAAACGGACTTTAACCTAAATTTGAATAATATATATAATGAAGTAACCATCGAATAAAAACAAGGATCAGAATGTGGCTTGAAAGTTGCTTGAGAGACTTGATGATGGCAGCACAGAAGCACTTGTATCTATGTGTCTATTACAACACTCTCTTACAGACACACGTTCACACATACACACACCCAAACACACACACACACACACACACACACACACACACACACGCACATAAAAAACAAGCGCTAAAAATAAATTTTATTTATATTGGGTTATTACATATGAAATTAGCGTTTTGTCGTACTGACCATTTTGATCTGAAATATCTCCTCTTTGGTTAAGAATTCAAAATTCAAATTTATAAATTCACTAGCTGTTACCCGCGGCTTCGCCCGCATGGTCACTGGGAAATAAACTATCCATTGCTTTTTGAATTGAAAGAAAACTGAGTTTTATAGTTTTGTCAGAGATGCAGCCATTAAAAGGAAACTGAGCAAAATTGATTCGTCAGCCTATTTAAATATTTTGAAACGCAGCGTATAGGAAAGCATGAAAATAGCCCGTTTATTCCAAATGGAATTGGGATATTTTTAATTAAAGGAAACTGAGAATGATTATCCCTCAGGGATGCAGACTTTTGAAAAGAAACTGAGCTAAATTGATTCGTGAGAGATGCAGTTTTCTGAATTGAAAGGAAACTGAGCCAAATAAAAGATCCGTCAGAAATGCAGCCCTTTGAGTTGAAAGGAAACTGAGCTTAATAGGTCCATCAGAGGTGCAGCATTTGGAATTGAAAAGAAACTGAAAAGAAGGGGAAGATCTGTGGGAATTCTGATTAATTGATTGTGGGAATTTTGAAAAAAAAAAAACTAACTGAACACTATTTTAAGACGCACTACACAATGTTATACGTTTTTTAATTCGGGGAAAGAATGTGGAGATTCTGGGCATTTGACACACGCGAACATGCTACATACAGCTGACCATGAGAGAAGCACGGTTTTTCTAAGTTGACCCCCGCTACCTGTAACGTTTGCCCTTGCGATTTATTAATTGTCATTACAAAACTGAGCTTAATAGGGAACTGCAACCTTTTGAATTGAAAAGAAAGATCTGTGGGAATTATAGGGATCCGTAGTATAATAACATTTTCACCTTTTCCTACGCCTGTCAAAATTGTAGCACCGATTATGTTCCGTCCAAGATGTGTCACACGCAGCCTTGTCCCGTTACGTAACCTAGGAGCATCTAAATTTCACATTAGCATGACTGAGACGCCTAATTTTAATTGAAGATTATGTGAGGGCGCACCTGACAACTCTAGAGAATTTAGAAACTCTACGGGATATGAAGTGCTCTGTTATGTGTCCATAACTGTGTCTACTGACAAATACTCTGTAACTTCTCCTGCTACTTCGCTTAATATATCTGAATTTATTTTGTTAACGCTCTCATTTTTGGGTGCAAGAATCGCCCTTTCACATAACCATTGCTCTTCATGCATGTTGTTTGCTAAATAAACGCTCGCAATTCATTCGTAATGACTCTGTACTAAATTACAAAAATCTATCGTCAATTTAACGCAGTTCTCCGTTTCATTTTCATCATTTTGCAGCGCTTTCAAATGGAAAGATGAGACCGCAGGCATGTGCTGTTCCAATGGAAAAGTGTCTCTTCCGTTACTTGGGGAACCAGAAGAATCTGTGAAAACTCTCTTTTTATATGATGATAATGAGTCACGGCGCTTTATAAACAGGATCCGGAAATATAACTCATGCTTTCAAATGATGTCCTTCGGAGTTGACCGGGAAATAATAATGCCGGGATTTTTGCGTACATTTACGGTGCAAGGGCAAATTTATCATAGAATAGGTTCACTTTTTCCAGCTGAAAACGAACAGCATAAATTTTTAGAATTATATTTTATGGGTGACGAAGAAATTGAGGTAGGCCATCGCTGCCAATTTATCCAGGGAGTTGATAGAGACACAGTGTTCAAAATTTAAAGATTCTTGCATGAACGTAACATTTTAGTAAAAACATTTAAAACTGCTTTAGAAAACCTACCTGAAGAGGATTATAAAGTCGTCATTCACGCAGATTGGATCCCTCGAGGAGAGCATGAAAGGCTAATGCACCTTTGATAAACGAAATAGCAGCCGTAATTAGTGGTGATCAATTTTCTTCGCCGATACACACAAGTTTTATGACGCTCCGCAATACCCATTGATTAATTGCAAAGGACAAGAGGGTTATCATTTTCAAATTCCACTCATTAAGTCGGTCACAAAGGAACCTACTCCGAACATAAAAGTATCATGTATGGATTTTTATATGTATCATATGATGTTGCGAGGAAATGATTTTAACCTCTTAGCCCGGTGTAGACAATTATTTCATCAATTTTTGGTAGACATATATGTGAAGGTAGAAAGTGAACGTCTCCGTTATATATCTTTAAATCAAAAAAGCTGCACGTTGAGAATTATATACATTTACAAGATGCAGTTTCTAGCGATTCCAATGTGAACCCCAGAGATTTAGGTAAAATGGTAATTCTGCCCTCATCATTCGTTAACAGTCCCCGCTACCTAAATGAGTACACACAGGATGCATTCGCCTATGTACGAACTTACGGAAGACCTGATCTTTTTTGTTACTTTTACTTGCAATCCCACATGGAAAGAAATAACCGATGAGCTAATGCCGGGCCACAAAAAAGTACTG